ATATATATATAATTGATCAAGTGAGAAGCTATACATTGCATTCCTCAAAAGTCATTAAGACAATTGATATATAATTGATCAAGTGAGAAGTTATACATTGCATTCCTCAAAAGTTATTAAGACAATTGAATTATTACTAAAGTAACCACTCACTTCCTGGTCCATCTGCAACTGAGCATCCTCAAGTGTTTGATCGAAATTGGTCAATAAGGCATGTCTCTTCTTGTTAAAGTAATCCCAAATACGAACCTGTTAAATGGCACAAAATGAAAATGGTTAATGTACAGTACATGGCATAAATGGTAAGCAAATAGCCTAGTAAAAACATTTCTTGCCTTCTCGGAATCAAGCTTTAGAAGCTCACAACACTTGCTATAAAGCTCTTTGACAGTTCCCTGAATCCAATAAATGAATTAGAAAAATTGGAACACCAATATTGACCATAGATTATGGAACTCATATTCAAAATCAGCCACGCCAAGACTGGGTTATATATATAACCTATTGGACATAAGCAATGATGCAATGACTCCCTTCAACAAATAACATGCTACTGGACATACGCAACGATGCAATGACTCCCTTTAACAAATAACACGCAAACTACGATAGTCAAGAAAATAACATCATGCTAGCGTCAAATTCTAGAGGGCATCCGGAACAAGCCATCCCAAAGTTTATAATAACTTCTGCAGTTCTCGTTTTTTTTTTTTTTTAATGGCCCAAGTTGCACCCAGGTACTCGGTTCAGCAAGGAGCCGAGTCCGAGTGGACTCAGCCAAGTTTTCAATCACTGTGGCCTCTTTCATCTGCCATTTCACACCTTAACACTTGAGAAGGTGATGTAAATTTTACACACCAAATTAAAAAAAATTGTATACTAAATTCAAAGAAGGAAACAAAAAAGTATGTATGTCCCAAATTAAAATTAAAAGAATAAACAACAAGAAAAATAAGAAAAATATACAACCCCAAAATATTTAGGAAATGCACAAATTGCGACCTGCCTAAAGGCATCAGTTCAATACAGAAATCTTAAGTCTATAGAAAATGAAATACCTTCCAAAATGTACAAAATTTTATGACATATTCTTCATAATTCTACTCTTTTATTGTCTATGCTCACTATACAGTTAACCTCAGGTCTCTATTACTAAAGGCAAACCTAGACCAGAGGTTTCGCATCTATTACTCAAGGCGATCCTAGAACCACAAATCGAGGCACCATTTTCATTTCTTTAAGGTACATCCTTCAATTACTTTTCCTCTCTCAGATATTTGAATCTCATTCTCTTTTTTCTCTTCGCTCATTTCTATCTCACATCTAAAGCTCTCTTACCCTCAATTTCAGAAAATAAGCTCTATTACCCTCTCTGTTACTTTCTCTTTGTTTTCCCATTTTGCTATGTACAAATAGATAAATACACCCCTTTTTATTTGTTTATTTTTCCTTCGAGAAATACACACCTCATTATTTTCTCTCTTGCAATAATTTCTCTTTCATTCATCAGTTTCTCTATTCTTATCCCCTAAGGAATGTTAATATAAATATTACGAAGTTCTACTAACAGTAGGATAACCCAAATAACGAATAGGAAAATGTAATTCCGTATTTTATTATATATTAAGGTAAATATTTGATAGCCTGAAAAACTATTTTAAGAGAAGAGTAATATCCAACATGTTAAAAGAGAGAGAAAGAGAGAAAGCGTGAGATATTAGTATTTATTTTTATTAGTATTTCAGTTTTAATACAACAGTTTAAGAAGGGTGAGGACCTTGAACTTTCCCTTAGCTCATTCCAAGCCCGGGTGAAGGAGGTGGGTTGTGTTAGGTAGGCAGGTAACATAAAAACCTTGCCAAAACTTCCCATGAATCCTTAATCTACGCCATCTGCTTATGCTAGGGTGTTCCCCATAAGCAACACGTTGTACCGTAACATGGGTACAATGAGAAATGAGCAAGGATTAACTAGGGCGTTCCCCAGAAGCAACGTTGTAGCGCCACTCGGTTGCCGAAAAAATAGGCAAGGGTTTCCACGTTATTTTGGACAAGCACGGATAAAAAAGCTCATCCAAGAGACTTAAGACTCACCCAACCACATGGAATATAGGAATGCTTATAAGTAAGAATATTGAGTTAGTGGATACAATGAAACAAAGGGCAATAGATATAGCAGTTAGTGGATACAATGAAACAAAGGGCAATAGATATAGCATGTCTATAGGAAACTAAGTAGAAATAGAAAAAAGCTAAGGAAATAGATGGGTATAAACTTTAGTAGATAGGAAAAGATAATAATGAAAATGGTGTAGGCATAATAGTAGACAGATTTAAAAGATGTTAATGTCAAGAGAGTAGGTGATAGGCTCCTATTAATTAAACGATTGGTTCCTATTAATTAAACTTGTATTAGGGGAAGAGATAATTAACGTGATTAGTACTTATGCACCACAAGTAGGACTAGATGGTAGAATTAAAAGACAATTTTGAGAGGATATGCATGGACTAATCCAAGACATACCAAATGGCGAGAGGACCTTTTTAGGAGGGGACTTAACTGATCATATAGAGAAGACTACTAGAGGATATGAAGGGGTACATGGGGAACATGGATTCTATGAAAGAAATGAGATGGGCGAGGCTATTTTAGATTTTGCTATGGCCTATGACCTAGCAATAGCAAACACTTCCTTTAGAAAGCGAGATGAACATTTAATAACCTATAAAAGTGGAACATATAAAAGCCAAATAGAATTCTTCCTTTTTTTTTCTTTTCTTTTTTTTTTCAACTATAACCAAAATGTATAGAGAAATATCTATAAGTCCCTGAAAGATCATGAATATATCGCTCTATAGAAAGCCACTAGACACCAAATGCAGCCTGTCCAATGCAAGGAAAGAAACTGACGATAACAAACCCAAGACATCAATGCAATATTAACTGGTGGCCCTAATAAAAACAATTGGACCCTCAAAAAAAAAAAAACACCCACAGAAACTAAGGAAAAAAATGCAGAATAAAGAACCAAATATCAATACCAATGTTTTGTTTTCTTTCAATTTGGTTTGATTCTCCTTCTTTTGAATCGGGACAGAATGCTGAATTCTCATTCATTTAGAGAGAGAGAGAGGAGAGTTGATCAGTGTGGTCGAAAGGAGCAGCTGCCTGTGCCATCCTGGGAACTTCCATGGCCTCACAGACCTTTGTCTTGAGGGCGTCGAGTAACTCTATGAGGTGGAGGACCTCAGTTCGGTCCATTTCGAGGAGCATTCCAGTCACTTTTCCAGCATGATCATGATCCAGGCGATTGACAAGAGGGAAGAGTTGTTCTCCAAGCATCACTCTCCTAGTGATAGACTTCTTCCTAGTTAAGAAGTAAATCGACCATCATGTAAAGGCTGTAAGGTTATCTCAAGGGAGAGTTCGACTACGCAATATAGGCTCCTGGTTATGAATGTTTACATAAAGAGATAGAGGATAAGGGCTAAAATTAATAGGTGTCCACGAACTAGGTGGTGGAATTTAAAAATGAGAAAATGGAACTCTGAAAAGGTTAATATTATGTGGAATGACATGGCTGACTATATTAAGAAAGTGACAAAAGAAGTTTTAGGATTCTGATAAGGATACTTGGTGGTGGAACACATATGTTGGAGGTGAGAGCGTGTTCGGGAGCGAGATCACTATTTCTCTAAACCCGGTTCCCTCTAAGATTCTTTATGGGATCAGCAAGAAACAATCACGTTATAAAACTTGGCAATGCAATAGAAATGATCAAAACTTCGAAGAATGTAAAAATACTAATAAAAATGCTAAACAAAAAGTAAATAAAGCTAAACTTAAGGAATATGATACATAGTAAACTGGGAAGAAAAAAAGATGAAAAAGATGTCTTCAAATTAGAAAATATGGGAGAAAAAAAGTGTAGGGATCTAGACCATATTAAATGTATTAAGAATGAGGAACATATGGTCTTGGTGAAGGATATAGAGGTCAACGAAAGGTGGAGAGTTTATTTTCAAAAATTATTAAATAACAAACACAGTAGGAACATTCCGGTAGAAGGAACTGCAAGCATAAATGAGGGTGGAGGTCATAGATACATTCGTAGAATTAGGATATCAAAAGTGAAAAAAACCTTGAATAAGAGGAGAATAGGAAACGCTTTAGGACCAAATGGCATCCCGATAGAAGTTTGGAAATGCATGGGGGAGATCAGTATTGACTGGTTTTTTCGCAAGTGTTGAGAACAAAGAAAATATCAGAAAAATGAAGGAAAAGCACCATGGCACCTATTTACAAGAACAAAAGAGACATACATAATTGTGAGAACTATCGAGGGATCAAACTTATGAGCAGTTATGAAGTTGTAGGAGAGTAAACAACGACTAAGGCATGAAACGAGTGTATCAAAAAACCAATTCAGTTTTATGCCAGAGCAATCAACAATTGAAGCTATTTCCTACTTAGGCAACTTGTTGAGAAGTTTAGGGCGAAGGGAAAAGACCTTCACATGATCTTTATTGATACAAAGAAAACTTATGATAGAGTACCTCGAGATTTTTTTTGGTGGGTATTAAAAAAGAAATGAGTATCTAGATACTATATCGACTTGGTGAGCGATATATACAAGGGAGAGTTAATTAGTGTGTGGACAGCTAGAGGAGAGTGAGTTTTAAGTGACAATAGGCCTACATCAGGGGTTAAAGTTGAACCCATACCTCTTTGTCTTAGTTTTGGACGACTTAACTAGGGACCTATAAGATAAGGTACCGTAGTGTACGTAGTTCGTGGATAACATAGTTTTGATCGATAAGACCTGAAGCGTGTTAACGCAAAGTTAGACTTTTGGCAAGATGCTCTAGAATCCAAAGGTCTTAAAATCAGCCAAACTAAGATAAAGTATATGGAATGCAAATTTAGTAATAATAGGGGCAGAGACAAGGAATAGTTGAGATTGATGGCCAAATAATATAAAAAAGGGTGCATTTTCAATATCTTGGGTCGATAATCCAAAAAAATGGAGAGCTAGAGGAAGTTCTAGCACATAAAATTAAAGTCGGGTGGGTGAAGTGGAGATGTGCAACTGGAGCTTTACGTAATCGCCGCATACCAATGAAGAGGAAGGAGAAATTCTATAAGACAACTGTGAGATCAGCTTTGCTTTATGGGGCCGAATATTGCCAAGTGAGAAACAGCATACTTGTAAGATGTGCAGTTGAGATGAGAACGTTGAAATGGATGAGTAGCAAGACAAGAAGGGATAGAATTTGAAATGAATACATTAAAGAAAGTAGACTTAAGTGGGCTGCCATGTGCAGCACAGACCCAGTACAACACCTATTAGGAGGTACGAGTTGGTTCAAGTGGAAGGCTTGAAAAGGGTAACAATAGACCCAAAAGGACATGGTTGGAAGCCGTGACAAACGATATGGGGACTTATGGCCTCACTGAGGGTATGGTCCTTGATAGAGCATAATGGCGGACCATGATTTGTATAGCCAACCCCAAAGAGATGAGAAAGAGCTTTGATGATGATGATTTCAATTTTAATGCAAATGTATTTTTCATTAATATTTTCTTAGTGATTTAAATATCAATGTAATTCAATATAAAATATTTTTCATTTAATGAAGTCTATGGCATTTTTTATCATTGCAAGTCTGCATTGGTGCACTATCATCATATACTTCAAGAAATTTGCTTCATTGTTGTTTAAGAAGGGAAAATATCATTTAAGTGGTCAAAACCCCTAACAAAATCATTAGGGGGGTCAAAAGATCCTAATTAACATTCGATTGTTTACTTTCCAAGTTTTATTTCGCTCGTGTATCTACTCAAAAATATCTTTAACAATACCCAAACTGCCCCTGTTTAGGGTTAAGAACCCTGAACAAGGAGGGTTTTAGTAATTTGACCAACCCTGAACAAGCAAAGGTACACCTATCATTTAGTTGGGACTGCTTAGGTGGGTCAAATTGCTAAAATTCTCTTGCTTGTTCATGGTTCCAACCCTAAACAGGGTTTAGCAATTTGGGCATTTTTGTAAGTATCTCTTGAGGAGGTACCTAAGTGAAATGAAAATTAAAAAGTAAATCTTCTAATGCTAATTGGGAACTTTTGACCCCCTTAATGATTTTGCAAGGGGTTTTTACCCCTTCCATGATATTTTCCCTACTAATTGTTATTGTATTCAATTTTTATAATTTTCAATCAATATTCAGTGTGAGCAGCTATATGTATCATAGTTTGCATACTCAATAGCTCAATACCAAGGTATCTGCACCCGATCTAGAGGGATCATTCCAATGTCCCACTCTTTGAATGTATGAATTTAAGTATGCTCAGTTCTCCAGGACTCCTCGGTTCTCAACCAAGTCAAAAATGACAAGATCGGTTCACTCATATTTGTTGCCAAGACCGGTATGACCAGTAGGGAACGAATAGGGATTCATTTGACCTGGTTGAATCTCTCCAGTTGTTAACAAGTCTACGAATATCATTTTTAGAGAATAAAGATATAATTTATATCTATTTGAGCTAGTTATTAGTTACATTAAATAGCTTAAAGACCTTAATTGTCAATCTATTGTAAACATAAATGACTTGCAATTAAAATCAGAATTATAAAAATAAAAATTAAAAGCAATAAACTACTATGCCAAAAAGTCCATTATACGAAGTAAGACTCCCACTCTTCACATAACAAAGCCTCTCACTTTCACAAGGACAAAGGGGAAATTAAATTGGATCAATCTTGAATGCCATGTTTAGCATTCGCACTATCTATGCATCCATCTCATACTCCAAAAATAGAATCATACTTGGTAGCTTGGATTTTGGGTTACATATATGTTGAACAGTAAGGATATACCATCCACCCATCCACCATCTATGCCGAGGACAAATTATCCATTCGTTCCATGGGATGATTGGATGATTACACAGAATCATTTAAGAGAATAAAAAGGTCTTGATATTTGGATTTGGGTTATAAAATGAGATTAACATTAAGTGCAAAAAAAAATTCCTGTATTAATTAGAATTTATTTTTATGATACAAAAATTTGTAATTTGCCCACCTGGTCGAGCCCACCTGGCGACTGATGAGCCCAGGTCTGGGTTTGAGCTTGTGAATTGAAACACACACAGCATGTGTGCCATACCAGTCGCTAATAGAGAATGCAACAATGTAACCCTACTATAAGAACAAGAAAACAAAATTGAAAGAACAGAAAGAAGGGAGTACAAATAAGGAAGGCAGGTACAAAAAGGACAAACCTTCCCGATCAAAAGAGTACCTTCCTGAACTCCCCCATGCATGAGGGAATCTACGGGGAGCTTGTCTCACTAAGCACATGAACTACAGGAAATAGAGTTCTCTTTTGCAAATCTAACTCATGACTGTTCATCAATCTCTAGGGAATAATCCAAAAATAATCAATGCTTCAGAACAGATGTTGTATCCTAGTCAATAAAATCATAAAAAACTGGTGTTCTAGCAGTGTCCACCGCCATACCATGCCTCATAGGACCCAAAACAAATATCTCCCCCGAGAATATAGTTTCATATCGTAACACTGATTGGCAAGTAGAAGCACCAAAAATTTGATAATTACATTCTAGGCTAGCAACATTCTCAATAAAGTTTATTCTGCTAGATGCTATATACTACATACAAATAATTTCTTAAAGGAACAAGATGTACAGCTTCTAACTACATAAACCAGCAAGAAATGAAATACCTTTTTGCTTATTCGGATAACTGACTTGGTGTTATCATTTGCAAGAATTAGATGAAGCTGTAGTGGATAAACCTCTATACTAAAACCCTTATGAGATGGACCATCCGAAATCATCTTTCTGGGGAGCACCGGACCTCCTTTATACCTGCATAAAACAGGAGGAAGCAAGGATTATAGATAATTAGAGAATGAAGAAAGCACTTAGACATCCTTAAAATACAAACTTTGAATACACATAGCACCAAATCAAACGGCTAAAAACCACAAATAACACATTCCTGGAGCAGAAACAAGTAGAAAATCGTAAGCGATATGAAGCAGAAAACAACATGTGTACAGCAACATGATCAAACATCATAACCCAAACCAAGGTTTGAAAACATTATGTCACTACCAAAGGAGATTCATGGAAAATAAGTCAGTGTTACCAATCAGAAAATGATAAAATGGAGTTAAAAAGAAAAAATCCACAGATAGAGAAGATACTGAGTTGGATGTTCCTTGGAAATAACAATGGCTGGCAAAAAAGACACAATTACCATTCAAAAAGTTGCTTCCAAACATCATCAGGAACCAAAACATAGTCATGGCCTTCTTCTAGTGACCTACGCAACTCCATCTCACCACCCTCATCCATCACATCTATCACTAGATCAGTATTGTCGATGCTTCCAGGCCTCAATGCAATAACTGAAGAAGCCTTTTTGGCATACTCCCAATGAGAAAAATTGCCTTCATTCAAATCACTTCTTGCATCTTGACCTACATATTCTTGCCAGCTCCTCCACCACCTACAAACACATAAGTTAGAAACTAATTAATCACTATGTAATTAAGATCACATCATTTACTATAAAGTAGCATACTAATGCTTGGAGAAAATAAAAAAATGAATCCACTATACGATCCTCAGATCAAAGAAAGCTACTTTCCCACAGTGACTGATGGAAAGGCCAAACATCAAAGTGAAATAAGAAGCAGACAAAAATCAAGATCGATAACCTTGTATTATAAGGACAAATGAATATAGAATAAAGAGGAATGATACTCCAAAGCATCCCACACTAAAGGAAAAGCAATAATCACAAAAAAATGAGAAACCAAAATTCGTTGAGGCCCCGTTTGGTTCCCTGGAAAGAAGATCCATTTCCATGGATACCAGTCAATTCTCACATTTGGATGTGCTCTCAAACGGGATTCATGTTTCCGCGTGGAGACTAGTTTCACATTTTGAGCCCATTTTGTGGATGTCAATTCCACCAAAATAGGTGGAATTACACCAAAATAGGTGGAATTAACATTTCCAGAAGATGGAATGCCTCCCCAAAACCGAAATGGTGCAGTAAACTACCTATGATAGTGCGGGTTGAGGTCTGCATCAAAAACATCTCATCGAACCTCTCTCTTTGTATTTTCCCTCTCTCTTTCCTCTCTCTCTCTCTCTCTCTCTCTCTGTATGTAACACTTCTCTCTATCTCTCTCACTAACTTCTCTATGTGTCTCTGTCAACCTGCTATCTCTCTCTCCCTCTCTCCCATCTTTCGCTCTCTCTCCTATCTCTCTATCTCAAGACCTTTCCCTCCTCTCTCTCTTTAATATCTCGCTCTCTCCCGCTCTCTATCTCTATATCAACCCACAATCTCTCTCTTTCCCACTCTCCTTTCTCTCTCCATCGTTGTAACCAGCAAGCACTCTCTCTCTACTTTCCCACAGCAATTTTAAAATGCTGCCATTTATTCCTCACTTGTAAAAAACTATAAAAAATATCTTATAAACAATCTACCCACAAAAATAAAAATTATACAATATTGATAATGGTAGATCTTTAAAAAGAAAAAGGATACAATATAATTTCTAAATTTCTGACACATCTTCCAGGCAATCCAAACAATGTACAAGCATCTTCCAGGTCTCTTACCAGATGCTATCCAAACAGCAGACACCTATAAACCAGGAGATACCAATCCCAAAGAAGCCAATTCCAGGAGAGGCATCTCCCCTGGACACACATTCTACGGAACCAAACAGGCCTAGGGAACCACAACGAATGCCACAAATTGATCAGAAACACATGTAAAGAGAAACCATGAAACAAATATTATGGTTTAGATGTAAACTGAACAAAAATGCTTCTAGAGTTCAGTGAAGAGAGACAGAAAAGTCAGATTCACATGAATATAAATCTTCAAAAAGATAAAGTCATCAACAGAGATTTACCATCAATGGTCCTAACAAACATCACAAAATATGACAGAAAACACACATAAGACACCAACAGTCTCACAAGAATCATTAAGAAGCTGTCCTGGCATTCTAACTGAAATAAACAAAAATACAAAAAATAGACATGAGCAGAAAGATTATTAGCGAAATTCTCACAATGAAGAATCTCACAACGAATATCCGCATGCATTTACTATGATATTGAGATCTAAACTTATGATTATGTAAAAATTTATGGTATTTGGCAACCAAAGGGGTTCTAGTACTTAAAGAATGGAGATATTTGTAACTATGAAACATTGGTGATCAGACATCCAAAACACTAAAGAATCAAATATCTCCTCTTTCTTTCTCGTGTATAGCATCTTTTCTTTTGTACATCATCATTTTGCATTGGTTATTTGGTCTCATTGAAGACTTCGAGTCTGAGTATGAATGTTGAACTATGGACTATAGCATATGGTGTATTTTTTCCTCACTACTTTTAGTTATTCAAAGAAGCAAAATTTTCAGTGATTTGTATGTATCTCAACATTCACATGCATATAATTGCATAAAAACATTAGTTCACTACTTTTAGTTATTCAAAGAAGTAAAATTTTCAGTGATTCATACGTGTCTCAACATTCACATGCATATAAATGCATAAAAACGTTAGTTAGGACATATATAAATCATAAATACATATATTTAACACATATACAGCCATATATGTGCGTTTGGACAGCACATATAAGCATATACGTGTATATCTCACACCTTTGGGTGCTGAGGTTCTAGGTGCCCGCCTAGGCACAGGGCACACTAGACCCCCCATCTGGCCCAGCATTTTTTTAAATCTTCAGTGATAGGAAATGAAAAACTTACTAAACAATAGTAAGAAATTTTGATTTCTACTCATGACTTGAAACCCTCGATTAGTTGGTGAATCTTCACCCAAATACCTTCCACAAAATGTCTGAAACAATCTCAAGAGAAAGCCAATCTCTTTATTTTTTCAAAAGCCTAGGCTGGAAGAAATAAAATCAAAAGTTGAAAATTTTGGTTTTTGATCACCTGAGAACTACGTAAAATGGTTCTAATGTGTTTCTTTTTTTTCCTTTTCGTTTTTTTTTTTTTGTTGTGGGTTTGGGGTGGGGGTCTTGGGGGGTGGGCAGGTTGGTACATATACCCTCCCAAACCGTTTCCCCTCCTTTCACCCCCCTTTTGGGGTTGGACAATTTTGCCCTTGCACATCGGCTTATTTTCTAACCATGAGCATGGAGTGGATATGCAGGTGCATTACTTATGATTCTATACCTAGCATATTTGGGTGATGCACCAGCATATGGGGGCACCTCACATTATTCTACATATGTAGTAACACATTATGTGGCCTCATAATGCATTATCTAACCGCATTTTAAGACAATGCCTGGGAACTATATATCCCAGGGCCCAAACTTCTGCATAACAGTAACTAACTATCTACCATTTCAAAAAAAGGGAAATAACAAAAACATAATAAGTTCCATCCACCCCAGGGCCTCCTGGTTCACTTGGCTGGCATATCAAACGAGGCTGCTCACAAATGATAGACTCCAAAGATGGGGATTCCAAATGGAAAAAAAAAAGACATGTTATTTGTGCAAAAACAGAAAGGGATAGCCCTGACCATTTGCTCAACTACTGCGTAATTGTAAATCACCTTTACCAAGTCATATTGTGGAGGTTTAACACAGTACTAGTCAGCCTCAACACGCAGAACATCATATCACATTGGTCACCAAAGGAATTCCCTAATAAATTCCTTGTCAAACTTTGGAAGGTCTCTCTCCCTACCATGATCTGCGTGATTTGGCCAGAAAGGAACTAGATGGTGAAAGTGAACCGAAACTGATCCATCCAATCCCTTATGAGAGATATTACATGAAAAGTCCAAGGTTGCGTTGCAGTCATTCACATACCACCCCCAAGAAGTCATCTTCAGCTCTTATCTATAATACATGAGCTGTCCTCCTAACAGTGAGAGCTCTGCATATGTAACTTTGAATGATGTACTAAACAGATAAGAATATTTGAGGCTCGCGAGCCCCATACATTTCAGTCTACTATATTCACTTCTATACATTCTTCACACATTAATATAACGGATTGGGAACCCACTCAATCCCCTGGCTAACTTAGCCAGAAAAAAAGGGTATGATAGGTCAACTTGTCATGCTTACATGCACCCTTCATATTTTATTAGCTGATTTTTTTTTTTTTATTTGAGCATGTAAGCAGCAAGTTACCAAGATATTCCATGATGGAATATGGAATAACAGCTCCCATGAGGCACCATTTTGGTTATCATAGTGATAAACTTGGGTTAAACATGCAGGGTTCTGCCAAGGATCGTTCAACTACATTTACATCCGAGAATCCTCATCCATAGCTTCAATATGTAATAACTGATTTTTTTATTTTTTTTTCACCTTTTGTGCTGGTTAGGGGGTGTGCATGTCCCAAGAAGTCCCATTTTTAATTGGCTCCTGGCAGCCTAGGTGGAATGTATGGGTACCAAAGTAACACAAGGGTGTTCAAGACCTAGAGCCATCTGCTTATGGTTTGGGAAATTTTTCTTTCCCTTTTTTTAAGAAAAAAGAACTTATGGGTATGATTTGTGAAGGTTAGACTTCTCTCAATGCTAATACATTTTAATCCTTCTACCAATATGTCTACAGTCTAAGAAAGTTTCATATAAATGAAAAATCCAAGGTTGCGTTGCAGACATTCACATACCACCCCCAAGAAGTCATCTTCAGCTCTTGTCTATAATACATGAGAGCTGTCCCCATCACAGTGAGAACTCTGAGTATGTAACTTTGAATGATGTACTAAACAGACTAGAATATTTGAGGCTCGCGAGCCCCTTACATTTCAGTCTACTATATTTGCTTCTATACATTCGTCACACATTAATATAACAGGTTGGGAACCCACTCAAATCCGTGGCGAACTTAGCCCAAAAAAAAAGGTATAATAAGTCAACTTGTCATGCTTACATGCAGGATGCACCCTTCATATTTTAGCTGATTTTATTGATTTGAGTATGTAAGCAGCAAGTTACCAAGATGGCCCGTTTGGATCCCAGGATTTTTCAATCCTGGGAAAAGTCAATTCTGGAATTGACATTTCCTGGAATATGGTGTATACTGTTTGGATTGCATCCGATAGAAATCAAGAAAATGCAAATTCCCTATTTGGATTGCCTGGAATATCTTTTTCTTGGAAATGCAAATCCTTTTTCTCTCTATCTAAAATTTTTGAGATAGTTTCTCTTTCTAAAATTTTCTCTAAAATTTTAATACAATCTCTTTCAAAAACTTAAAATTTAAAATAGTCTCTCTAAAAATTTTGAGATAGTTTCTAAAAATTTTATATACTTTCTCTCTCAAAAATTTCATATACTTGCTCTCTCTAAAAGTTTGAGATACGTTCTCTCTAAAATTTAAAATTTGAGATAGTTTCTCTCTATAAAAATTTTGAGATAGTTTCTCTCTCTAAACAATTTCAGGTGGTTTCTCTCTGTAAAATATGATATAATTTATCTCTCTAAAATTTTAAGGTACTTTCTCTGTCTAAAACTTAAAATTGGAGATAGTTTGCTTCTAAAAATTTTAAGGTAGTTTCTCTCTCTAAGAAATTTTAGGTAATTTCTCACTCTAAAATTTGATATAGTTACTCTCTCTAATTTTAAGATGCTTTCTCTCTCTAAAGCTTAAATTTTGAGATAATTTCTCTCTCTAAAATTAGTTTCTCTCTACAATTTTCATGCAGTTTCTCTCTCTAAAATTTTAATATACTTTTTCCCTCTAAAACTTAAAATTTGTGATAGTTTCTCTATCTAAATTTTTTTAAATGGTTTCTCTCTCTAAAAATTCAAGTACTTTCTCTATCCAAAATTTGATATAGTTTCTCTCCCTAAAGTTTTAAGATATTTTCTCTCCCTAAAACTTAAAATTTGATATATTTTTTCTCTCTAAAATATTCAAGTAGTCTTTCTCTCCATAACTTTAATATGATTTCTCTCTCTAAAACTTAAAAATTGAGATAATTTCTCTATCTAAAAATTTCTAAATAGTTTCTCTCTAAAAATTTCAGGTACTTTCTCTATCTAAAATTTGATATAGCTTCTCTCTCTAAAGTTTTAAGATATTTTCTCTCTAAAACTTAAAATTTGAGATAGTTTCTCTCTAACAAATTTCAGGTAGTTTCTCTATCTAAAATTTGATATAGTTTCTAATCTCTAAAATTGTAATATGCTCTCTCTCTCTAAAACTTAAAATTTGAGATAATTTCTCTCTAAATATATAGAGATATTTCTCTCTAAAAAATTTTAAGTAGTTCCACTATCTAAAATTTAATGTAGTTTCTCTCTCTAAAATTTTAAGATTTGACATACTTTACTCTCTCTAAAACTTAAGATTTGACATAGTTTCTCCCTCTAAAATTTTAATATGATCTCTCTAAATATTTAAATTTGAGATAGTTTCTCTCTCTAAAAAATTTTGTATACTCTCTTTGAAATTTGATATAGTTTCCCTCTCTAAAATTTTGATATGTTTTCTCTTTCTAAAATTTGATATAGTTTCCCTCTCTAAAATTTTGATATTTTTTCGTTCAGCAGCAAAATGGTCATTTCCATGAGTATTCCAAAATTTAGGCTTAAAATAAGTATTCAAGAATCTCATAGAAATCTCAATTCCAAAGGAAATGTCAATTCTAAGCGAACCAAACACAATTGGCCCAGCTTTTCCAGGAAAAGTGACGCCTAGAAATCTGAATCCAAGGAACCACATGGGCCCAGATGGAATATGGAATAACAGTTCCCATGAGGCACCATTTTAGTAATCATAGTGATACACTTGGGTGAAACCTGCAAGGTTCTGCCAAGGATCGTTCAACTGCCTCTGACATCGGAGTATCCACATCCACAACTTCAATATGTAATAACTGATTATATAGTTTTTTTCATCTTTTGTGCTGGTTAGGGAGTGTGCATGTCCCCTTAAGTCCCATTTTTAATTGGCTCCTGGCAGCCGAGGCAGGAACGTATGTGTAACAAGGTAACACAAGGGTGTTCAAGAACTAGAGCCTTCTGCTTATGGTTTGGAAAATTTTTCTTTGCTTTTTTTTCTTAAAAAAAAAAAAGGAACTAATGGTCAAGACCTAGAGCCTTCTGCTTATGGTTAGGGAAATTTTTCTTTCCTTTAAAAAAAAAAGAACAAAAGAAAAGGAACTAATGGGTAGGATTTGTGAAGATTAGGCTTAATCAATGCTAATAATTTTCAATCCTTCTACAGATATGTCTCTAAAATTGTAATGTGTTTTTTCTCTCTAAATTTTGATATAGTTTCCCTCTCTAAAATTTTGATATTTTTTTGTTCAGCAGCAAAATGGTCATTTCCATGAGTAATCCAAAATTTAGGCTTAAAATGAGTATTCAGGAATCTCACTGAAATCTCAATTCCAAAGGAAATGTCAATTCTAACCGAACCAAACACGATTGGCCCAACTTTTCCGGAAAAGTGACTCCTAGAAATCTGAATCCAAGGAACCAAACAGGCCCTGATGGAATATGGAATAACAGCTCCCATAAGGCACCATTTTGGTTATCATAAGTGATAAACTTGGGTGAAACCTGCAAGGTTCTGCCAAGGATCGTTCAACTGCCTATGACATCCGAGTATCCACATCCATAACTTCAATATGTAATAACTGATTATATTTTTTTTTTCATCTTTTGTGCTGGTTAGGGAGTGTGCATGTCCCCTTAAGTCCCATTTTTAATTGGCTCCTGGCAGTCGAGGCAGGAATGTAGGTGCAACAAGGTAACAAAAGGGTGTTCAAGACCTAGAGCCTTCTGCTTATGGTTTGGGAAATTTTTCTTTGCTTTTTTTTTTAAAAAAAAAAAAGGAACTAATGGTCAAGACCTAGAGCCTTCTGCTTATGGTTAGGGAAATTTTTCTTTCCTTTAAAAAAAAGGAAAAAAAGAAAAGGAACTAATGGGTAGGATTTGTAAAGGTTAGGCTTTAATCAATGCTACTAATTTTTAATCCTTCTACAGATATGTCTACAGTCTAAGAAAGTTTTATCTCGATAAAAATCCACGGAGCTTTCATAAGTTAAAGTGGAATTCCAAAATTTAGGTACTTTTTCTTTGCCCCCGAAGAACTTTTCCTAACTGATGCTGAACATAAGGTTCAAAGCAAAGCCACCCCATAGAAAGCTTCCAGCACTATAAGAACAGAAGAACAAGGGGTAAGGCAATAACAGGCACGCATTTCAAGGCAATAACAGGCACACATTTCAAATTCTAACCCCTTTAGAAAAAAACCACATGAGAAAATATAACATAATAAAGATAGTGAATACCGCAACAAAGTTGCTTAATCACATCGAGGATTCATCACCTAAGAATTTATGAAACCAACATACCAACACATTTCAAATTAGGCATCACAGGGATATGTAAACCTAAAAATAAACTTCGGAAAATAAGCCATAACAGCTCTGAATTCCATCCAGAATCTCTAAGAAATTTAGACCGGACAAATTACTTTTGATCATTGCAGACCCCAATACAGTCCAGCCAGATTAAAAAAAAAAAGAGAGAAAAAGGGGAAGGCATAAGATCATGGCACCATAAACCAATAGGTTGAACCACCCAACCTGCCAACTATTTGCAGAACATTCACTTGGGGACTTGAAAATATGAAATTTCACTTTTCCAGACGGATCATAGGTGTCTAGCAAAGAGAGCACAATAGATTTTAATTCCACTGCCCCATAATATGGGATAATTATAATCAACTTTGTTGATTATGTCCTTCACAAAAATCAAGTATAGGGCCTAGTTGAAGACAACATGGGGTGGGTGTTCCCCCTCCCACATGCGACACTCACATAGAAATCTCAAGGTGAACCTACAGAAAATTGTTTGTCATTTCCCATCCATATTATCGATACTGGTATCGAAGGTAATGGAAAGCCAAGAATTCCTGCATCAGCTTCTTTCGGAAAAAAAAAATGAAGACAAGAAAACAGAACTCCATCATAAACTTTTCACCTTGGGTCCTATTCATCAATCATCGTGCATATGCTGATAGGTGATGCATTTCTTTAAGGAAACACCCCAAACCTTTGGCAGCAATAACTATCTCAGAACCGTTTCTACAGAAACATCTACCAACTTCAAGATCTAGGTTACAACTCTAGCATTTGTTACCAGCCAAGTTTGACTTTGGATCCAGTCATAGTAAAGAAAGAATAACAAATGAACAAACAATAAAGAAGAACAAAGAAACAATTAATACATTACTCAAAATTAGCTAAATATAAAAACCTTTTTTGGTCTGTAGCAGAGGAGAACTAATTAAGGTAATAAACAGGGTAAGAATGGGAACTCGACATATTTATATAGCAGAGATGCAACCCATAAAATTTGCAACCAAGAATAAAACGAGCATTGATTGCAAACGTGAAAGAAACTATCATCATTCACGGTTAATCAAAAAACATAGCATTCTTCTTTCTAGGAAATTCACCAAGAATTTTTCATAAATCAAGCAATATCTCCAGATGAAGATCCTGATTTTCAAGAAAAGGACAGTAATGCCATTAACCAAGATCTTCCATACCTATTTGACAATACATAGAATGAGGCCCCCTCTTTTAAATTGGACTCAGCAGAATCTGTTTTCTCTTTAACAATCCGTGCTTCCTCCGCAGGACTTAATGGAACACTCTCAATTTCACGGCCCATTGGACAACCTGAATTTGCAACTGTCATGCAAATCAAAGATGTAAAAATCCTTTCCCCAGATATGGGTTTCTTCTGATGGAGAGCTAACCGATTCTCCAATAGAAAGCTCAGAAATGATATTAACAGGAGCTAAACTACCCAAAATAGTACAGAACAAACAAGAACACTCTACTTTTCAAGAATCATCCTAGCACCATCCTAATGAGTCAAGCAACAAACTCCCAATATGAAACAAATTCGATCCAAGAGGTTCCAAGAAATGAGCCACGTCCATTAAATCTAACATAAATTTCCTAACAAGTTGCAATACAATGTTCAAAACCTGCAACGAACTCCTCAGATTCTTCAACAATATCAAATATCTCCACTCTGATTACTCAACCCAATTGCGCCAGCGATCTTAATCCATCCCATGAAGCTCTGTCCATGGAATTAACAGAGCAAATAAATTGGGAAAAAAAAGGGAAAATCCTGATATCGAAAGGGGAATACCTTAAAGAAATCCGTATCAGGAAATGGAAACCCGAGATTCCAAGGATAAGGAGAAAGCCCTAGATCTCTGCGACATTAACAGCGAGAGAATCGCAGAGATCCAGATTTTACAGACAAGACACAAAAAGAAGCGCTTTGAGCCTTATTATATAAAATGATTTTATGCGAGCATACAGCGTTACTCCCTCGAGATCACACCGTACATGTACACCGTCAGGAAAAGTCTGAATTTTAGAGAGCGCCCTCGACTCACCGTCCTCGACTTTCTTTGACCTTTCTAGAAAAAAAAGTCCTACCATTTATTTGCCCCTTTTTAGGGAAAAAGCATATATGAGGTTATAATTTTATAATATAATAGAAGAATGGTAAAATCTAATCAAAAGATAGTTTTACAAAGTTCGGAAACTTTTCAATTTATCATCTCGACTTTTAGATGTATAGACAAAAGAATTTAAGTATTAACGGGAAAGTTGAATGACAAGAGTAATTTACAAATAAAATTTTAGGACACTAATTTCTATAATATCATTATATTTTTGTAAAACATTTAATTTATTTTTACTTAATAATTAAGTTACTTATTAAAATAATTTTTAAAATAAAAAGCAATGACTCTTTTCAATAAATACCCTCATCACAGGCCATTCTAACATTAACATTTATATATTTAAAAGGTTGTTAATTCTAGACAAATATATATATATATATATATATATATATAATGAGACTATCTATCTTTGGTATAAGGTGGTCACAATTAATCTTGACCATTAGATGTGAAATTAGGTGGCTATATTTATTTTATTGACCAAACTCAAAGTTCATAAGAAATTTTCTTGAACTTTATGACGGACCCAAACTATCAGATTTCACATTAGATGATTGTAAGTAATTGTGATCTCCTAGTTCTAAAATTAAGTGGTCTCAGATTTCACATTAGATGGTTGTAAGTAATTGTGCTCTCCTTGTCCTAAAATTAAGTTGTCTCATTGTATACAATCCCCATATACATAGATAATCATTTGAAATCTATAATGTTCACTCTTCCTATAGCTGACAACTACAGTAAATGCCTAAGGCCTAGATAAAATATGGGCCGCTTCAATTGTCATTCCGTAGTTAAATTTTGTTTTTTTTTACAATCCAATTCACTTGAAATTTTGAACGTTTACGTTTGAAAAATAGACGCACCTAATAAAAATATTTAAAAATTAATTTTTAAAACAATAATTGACTGAAATACCCTTGACTATTATAGCTTTATAATGCTATTTTGGTTAATTTATTTTTTGTGAATAATTTTCAAAGTATGTTTATTACGTGTGCTTTGATAGGAAGAGTGAGCATTATAAATTTCAAATGATTATATATATATATATATATATATATATATATATGAAGATGACTACAAAACACCTATAGGAAGAAAATAGAACAGTGTATTTTGCCTACCCTCATCATCGTCTAAAGTTCATCGACGGTCACGATTGTCCAGTAATGTTTCATTTTTTCATTTTTTTGTATAAATTGGAATGATCAGAAATTTAGAGCATGTGTTCATAAAAAATAAGAGAATCTACGAAAAATATCAAAAAAATATTTTACATAAAATAAATTGATTAAAATAGTCCTAAAATATTTTAGATGTATTTTGGTCAAAACAAATTCACGAATTATTTTTTTTATATTTTTATTAGGTGTGTTTCACTAAGATATATACACGCTCCAAATTTTAGATCATTCCAATTTGTAAAAATAAATAAATAAATAAATAAAACACAACTAGACAATCGTGACCGTGTGATGAGCTTTGGACAGTGATGAAGGTAGGCGAAATCACTGTTTATTTTCGCCTGTAGGCGTTGGGAAGAATTATATATATATGCGTGCGCTTTGTATAGAGCCTACCTTCAAATAGTGTCGAGAAATGTGATTTCAATATTAGAAATCTTCATGATAACCTTAAAATAAATTTTCATTTAAATTTATAAAGTTTAAAGCTTCAAAAATAGTGTAGATCGACATAACTATGAAAATCTTGATAATTGACGGTCAAAAAATGCGTTACAAAATACACTATTTCCAAAACTTGCAATTCATTTTTTTTTCATGTTCATGCATCTTCATGTCAATATAATTAATTTGAAGATATTTGGGCATCAAAACCTCCTCTCTACTGAAATTTTTGAGGTAGGCTCAAATTTGATTGTTTAGAGGCTTGGCTCTATATAAACTTTTCCATATATATATATATATATATATATATATGGAAAAAGTTTATATTAGGATGCAACTTTATAATGTAGAACTACAGATACACTTCAAAAATCCATCGAAAAAGATATTTTTAATGTTGAAAAACCCTTTGATTGATCATCTTGACATCAAGATGTATGACCATGAAAAAAAATAAAAAATTAAGTCTCAAAACTAGTGCATTTTACAACATATTATCTACACCGTGAATTTTCAAGATTTTCATATGTTTATATATCTACTTGATTTTAACCATTTTTAAACTTTAAAATTTTATAATTAGATATAAAATAGATTTTAAGATAGTCCTAATAACATTTTACATCAAAATTATATACCATGATAAAATTTGAAGGTGCACCTTACTTATATATATATATAGATACTACAAAACGCCTATAGGCGAAAATGAACAGTGATTTCGCTTATCATCATCACCGTCTATAGTTCATCGCACGCTAATGATTGTCAGGTAGTGTTTCATTTTTCAATTTTTTTATATACGAATCAGAATGATATGAAATTTTGAGTGTGTATTTATCAAAAATAGGCGAATCTACAAAAAAAAATCAAAAAAATATTTTACATGAAATAAATTGACCAAAATACCGTCGAAAAGTTTCAAGGGTATTTTGATCAAATTTTTTCAAATAATTTTTTTATATTTTTATTAGGTGCACCTCACTAAAATGTACACAAGCTCCAAATTTCAAATTATTCCGATTTGTAAAAAAAGATGAAAAATAAAACAATATCGGACAATCGTGACCGTGTAATGAACTTTGGACAGTGATGAGGGTATGTGACATTACTGTTTATTTTCGC